CCAAAATAACCCTGGCCACAAGACTTGAAATATTCATAATAAAGCTTACCAACCACAAGGACAATAAGAGACATTCCTATTAAGGTTTTTACATATTAAGACATATTAAGAAAAAACTTGATAAAAGGTGGTCTAGGAAGGGAGGAAGAAAAAAGATTTGATAGAGAAAATAATAACGCATCCAAGGGCTAACAGATGACTAAACATGGCACACCACTAATTGTGAAATCAATCCACTAACCCTCCCCAGAAATAAAGTCCCAGCTGGAGCCGTAATCCTGAGGCAGTGGAAAGTGCTGACATTAGCCAGTCCACACTGCCAGTCAAATGCTATTGTATAAAGGAAATTCTTTTTACCTTGGCTTTGGATTTGAGTTGCAAACCTAAGGAGGAAGTCTTTATCTGGGGTCCAGAAGGAGATTTTGGAAAAAAACAGATCAAGATCCCACAGGAAAATGAACTAAATAAAAGAAAAAGCCCAGAGCCAATTTGTTAACTAGTCCAATAAATCAATATGGTATCTGGCTACCATATGTAAAGGTAGATTTGAAAGGAGTATCTAGGATTCAGGACTGCTGATTAGAGCCGAAGAGTGCCTTTTGCAGGCCTGATCTGCTAGAAAGAATGATATCATTTTTCCTGAGATCTAGTTACAGGAGAGCAGAAGGAGAATCCAGGATATGGGGCATGCCAAAAGTGGCTGGGCTCATCAGAACTTGTCTTTATGTGAGTGGAGAAAGGGCCAAAGAGACCTGGATCCCAAACCTGGCTTGGCCATTTGTTAGCTGCACAACCTAGCATAAGTTTATTTGACCTTTCCAGATCTTTTTTCCTTGCTATAAAACATGGGTAATAAATACCAACAAAACTCTGTTAACAGGGCTAAAGGGAATAACCAAGGAAAAGTGCTTAACAACCGGTAGGTACTTTCTCCCGAGTTACTTTCTACGGTAACTTCTCTTCCCACCTGAACAGGAGCATGGGCTAAACCAGAAAGTGAACTGTTTGCTGACTTTCACTACGATGTTGGTGGTGGTGGTCAAGTAGTTTACGTAACTGAGGAATGTATGCTGCCCACTTTCCTTCCTTCAACAAATATTTATGGACACCCACCCTTTGAGAATGTCGGCTTACCCTGCAAAATGGTCTAGCACAACAGCAGTGAAAAGCCAAACCAGCGCTCATTCAACAAAGAGGTGTACTGAGCATGGACTGTCCTGAGCAAAGATGCTACCGGTCTCTGACCTAAACAAAGCCAGCCTTGCCAGCTCTCCAAGTGGCACGGACAGCTGGCCCAGAGGATCCCAGGCTGGAGAGGGCCGGGGTCTGAGCCTGTCACTTCAGCCATCCTCACACACATAGATAAAACTGCCGTCAGCAGCAGCATCTGTAAAGGACAGCTAACATCCTGTTGCTTTGGGCTGTTTTTCTCCAACTGGTCAAAAAAGCCGTTCTCCTTGCCAGTTATGTCACAGTGCCAATTTCCTAAGCACGTTTAAAGGGTGGCTGTTTACGCATATATTTCACATGGTACCATATTTTTACAATCTTGAGGGCAGTAAAAATTAGATTGCCAGCAATCTATTTTATTGGGAGGGGCATCAAAAACTCTGTAAATCAAGAGTACAAGGAATGATCAAGGTGACCTGCCTGCCAACCATCTTGTGGGCCCCTGCCCTCCAGGCCAGGTCTCTTTCATGTGGGCTCTTCTACTTGTGAGCCCTGGAACCAAGGGCAAGGCTCTTAGTTTCTCAGGCCCCAACTTCTTTATATGGACTAATTGTTCTCTGGGGTCCTTTCCAGATGTACAAATCTATGAGAAGGCATTACATGGCAAGTTTCAAGTAGTTTATGAAGGTTACTAAGTCTACATTGAAATGACAATAATACAATGCAGGTGTGTGTGTGTGTGTGTGTGTGTGTGTGTATACATACATGTGTGTATATATATCATCCCATGTAAAATCTGGTTTGAGAGGAATAATTGCTTATAATCTATGCCTTGCACAGAGCAGGGACTGCAAATAAGTTAAATGCATAAATAAATAAATGAATGGGAATATTAGAAGTACCTAAAAGCACAGTTGGGCATCACAGGTGGTGGAGCAGGAAAGAATTCATGAGACAGAAACACTTAGATAGTACTGGAATGCTCCTGGCCAACATTCATAATGTGTAAGGGCGAAACAACTAAAAGAATATGGTGAACCCCACCACTGGACTACTGGCTTCCTCTAAAAGCACCAATGCTCTGTGTAAGCCAAATTCTTCTGGGAAGCTCTCAATTCCTGTTTACTCTAAAACAAATAAGAAAGAAAAAAAAACGAACAAACCAGTTTTATTCCTTGTAACTCAAATCCCAAGGGAAGTTAGTAGGAGTAAGTGGGAGCCAGAGAGACTCACACAAATATACGCACACATACAAAATCATACCTGATGGGGGGGAGGTTAATGAAGCACACAAAATCCCAGGGCCGACAGGAAGTGGAATTAGAACCACAAAAGCCAAGAAGACAGTCAACAACTTAAAAAACTCCAGATGCACTCACTTTATTAAAATGGAATAAAAGCAAAGAGGAGGAAAGGAGACCCACAGATGATGAAATGGACTTGGGGGTATTTCACTGAGTCAGGGAAAGTCACTGCTTATTTCATATTGGAATCTCTACTGCCATTAAGTTCCAGAAATTCTCAAAGAGAATTTGTTCAAAAAGAGCAAAGATTTTTATACGAAGAAATTAAGCTTCGTATAAGAGCCAAGTAGATGTGGAAAAGAAACCTTAGTTTTTTAATCCAATGAGGTTTTTGAAGTTGGAAGATATGTTCTATGCACCCCTTCTTCAAGCAGTTTATAATTAACGCTAAGAGCTCTAGGCCCTTACCAAACCAGATCTACTAAGAAGCTTACTATCAGGCCACCAAAAGGCAATTAAAGCAAGTACCAATGTTCAATAAACATTTCTTGAACATCTCCTAAGAGCAAAAAACCACTATGCACAAGAGGAGCAGAAACTAGGGAGACGGTGCTGCTGTCTACAGGGAGCTTCCAGTCCAGGAGGGGAGACAGACACATAAATGGGTGCCAGATGACAATCAGGTACCACTGCAGATTATGCATGGGAAGCTGCGGGTGGAGGGGGCTAACTCAGACTGGAACACTTAGGAAAAACTTCACCACAGAAATGACACTTGACTTCATCTTGAAAAGATGGCGGTGATCTATTAAGTAAAGGAACACGAGGGAAAGATTCCAGATGCAGGATAAAGCAGGTGCAAAGGGCAGAGGCGAAGGGAAGGACCTGGCAGGTCCAGGGAGTCAGTGTAAGGTGTGGTTTGGCCACAAGAGGATGAGAGGGGAAGGGGAGACAGAGAGAGACTACTGACAATCGAGAAGTTAAGCTCGGAGACAACCAGGGAAGCACATGAGTAAACAAAACGTCACAATATGAGAGGAAAAGAACACAACAGAACAGCATGAGAGAGGAGGCACAACAGCGCATTTTGTTAAGCAAGGGTTCCTAGAAGAGGCAACGTCAAGCTTAGTCTGAGAATATGAACAGGAGTGTGCCAGGCAGACAGGACCGAAGAATTTATACCGAGGCACAAAGGCATGGAGTGCTCAGTGGTAGAGCTGGATTATAAGGTGTAAGAGGAGAAACTGAATTCTAGAAAATTCAGCTGTGGTCCGGTACTTAGAAGCCTGGAAGTCCTATCAAGTGTCTATTGACTAGTTAACCCTAAAGAGCCATGTAGGGTTTTAGAGGACATGAACACGTCTGTACTTAGAAAATGTACCACAACCTCTCCTTTTCTTATATAATTTCAGGTCTTGGTTTGTCTACGGTCTTCTGTTCCTGGTCTCAACACCTCCCTTTGTTTACTGCCTCTCAAGTACAGACTGTTATGATAATCCGTGAAAGAGATCAAGAATTACTCATTCTAGTTATAAAAATAGCAAAGAAATAATTTCTATTGAGTGCAAATTGAGGACCAGACATTGGGCCAAGTGCTTGGCATACATCATCTCATTTGATCTTCCTGGTATCCTTGGGAGATCGGTACCGTCATTAGTACAATTTTATAATGGAGGAAACAGGACTGGCGTAACTTGCTGAAAATAAGAAAACAAGTAAGGGGTGCAAATGGCTTTCACACTAATTCCGTCTGTCAGGCTCTAAAGTCCGTGTTCTTCACTTTCCTGCTACCCTGACTCCCGAGCGAGCCATGACTCTGATATCCTTACTACTGTATTACTTTCATTATCCCCCCAGCAACAACCCTAGTGTGTTTTACTAACAAAGCCTAACACCTGCTGAAAGCCTAGTTGACTTTACAGACACACTGGCAATCACTACACAGTGCACATCCACACAGAAAGCAAAGTGCGCAGGTGTCCTCGGTGCCAGTCATAGCCAGTGGGTCAGTAGGCGACAGGCTTCCTGATCCAGGAGTTGTGAACTGTTTCTTACTCCTTCTCTGTGCAATCAGGGAGTTAAGGGTGGGAGAAGAGGGGAGGGAGGGAGGAAGAGGAGGGGAAAAAAAGGGAGGGGGGGGCAGAAACCCACTAGAAAGAAGACTAAAACAAAAAGGAGGAGTCATTGGAAACTGGGAGAAAGCACACACTGGTACCAGCCAGAGCTTCTTGGAACGGTTCCCAGTCTGGCTGCCAAGGGGCTCTGGAATATATTTGTTAGAGCTGGATTCCTGTACAGTCCATTGCAGGCTTTTTCTGATTGCACTCTGACAGAGAGACCCACACTTTAGTTCCAATCCCTGCTTCCCGCACAGAAAGCCTGTGAGTCCTCAGGGGACCTCCAACTAAGCTCACCACTGGCCTCTTAGTAGGACCCTCACATGCCACCTCAGCTTAGAAAGAAAAACCCGCCACACACACACATTCTTACTTCTGTAGAATCACAGAGTCTCTCTACCCCAGGATCCCTTCCCAACTTCCCAAGCCCCTTTTCACACAACATATTAAGCTTCATGAGTCTCCTTACCAAAACAACTGCTGCGGTGAGGAACAAAGGTTTTACAGGCTGTAGCAATAGCTAGTTCAGCAGAGATTATAGTCTTAATAATCAGGTCTTCCACATGGGCCATCAATGCTACAAAAAAGAAAAAAAGAAGAAGAAGAAGGAAGAGACACTATAATGTACAGAGTAGAAAAACTGGATTCTGGAACACAGTGTGATTGTAAAAGCACATGTGCTCTTTCCAAAAAGTCTCCAGGTGGCGGTCTTGCAAATAGGTACTCCAGGAGACGGCATTATCTATGAATAAGGTGACACAGTCAAGAATGTGGGTGCAGGGGTTGTACTGAAGTGGCATCCTATGACAAAAGACAGACATGGAATGGAAAAGAAGCCCTACTTCCCCCTTCTCAGGCTTCTCCATCGCCCTTCCCCTTTGTGGACTGAGCTAAGCCTTCTTGCACAGTTTCCCATTCTGCTCAAGGCTCAGCCAGTAGTGTCCATTTTGATTCCAAGCCCTGTACTCAGACTTGACACTGCTCATTCCCCAATTCAACATGAGTGAGGCAGATTAACTTTGAAAAATTTGAACTCAGGGCCAATATGAAGACAGTACTTCAGTCCGCAGCTCAACATTCAAGAAGGATAAATTCACTAAGGGTTAAAGGACAAAGTTATGCCTTCCAAACTAGAAACAAGAAAAGGGATTGGGGGGGTGGGGCGTCACAGAAAGCCTGTTTTCCATCTTCTATAGGGCAGGAAAAATCAACATCAAGAACAACGACCCTGGGGTGCCTGGATGGCTCAGTCGGTTGAGCGTCCAACTTCGGCTCAGGTCATGATCTCACGGTCTGTGAGTTCGAGCCCCAAGTCAGGCTCTGTGCTGACAGCTCAGAGCCTGGAGCCTGCTTCAGATTCTGTGTCTCCCTCTCTCTCTGCCCCTCCCCGCTCATGCTCTGTCTCTCTCTCTCTCTCTCTGTCAAAAATAAATGAACATTAAAAAAAAAAATTTTAAACAAAACAACAAAAAGAACAACGACCCTGTCAGAAGCCTCAGAGACACTACCAGAATTAGAGAGAATGATGCATGCTGAGAGGCACAGTGAGGTTATACAGAAAAAAGAGATCACAAAGGAAAAAGGCCTGGTACTCACCAGTTGTATCTCTACCTTCTTGTTTCAGATACCTAAGCATGGCACTCATGCTCCATTTGTTCCCATAATCCTCCACTTCTGGATCATCACAACTAAAACAAAGGAATGGACCAAAGTCACACATGCAAATAGGCCTGGCTGTAGAAACCAGATTTTTTTTTTTTTTTTTTTTTTTACAAATACTTGTCCTTTTAATCTTCAGGAAAACATTCCCTTTGCGGACCTCCTGCAAAGGTGCTCCCTCCCGCGGTGTTCCCTCAGCACCTATTCTTAGTCCCTTTGTCATATATCCCTTTCTACCACTGATTTATTTTTTAATGAAAATGCATATAGCTTCTCTTATGGGGGGGGCAGGGGAAAAGGCAGCAAATTCTTCCTTAAGCAAACAATTATTATGTATCACGAGTGGAAGCAATGTGTGAAAGGATGTAAACAATTTAAGAGTGGCCACAATACATGAACAGAATGACACGTTTGGGATACTAACCTAGTCTTTGAGGTGAAAGTCATATGAGCCCACAAAACAACTTCTAATCCCATTTTGAGACCAGAACTGAGTCTTGGTTGGCTAGTGAACTAATGTAGTATAACATTCTAATGAGCTAACCTAGCATGGAACTGCTTTAGCATCTGAAGCAGGCTCTCTCCTCTCTAGTGGTAGCTCTCCACACAGCTTTTCTGGATACCCTCTGAGGTATCACTGAAAGCAGAATCCGTGAGAGCGACAATAAAATCAGCGAAGTGCCCCACCACCAGAGCAGCAGCCTGCCAAATGGGGTACACTGTCATGACTACTGGAAAGGTCTTGCAATCTGGAAAACTTTGTTTTGCAGATGCCCCCTCATTCCCTACCACCACCCCACCACCCACCAGTTGGGTGCATGTCTGCTCATCTTCCAGGGTGAACGATAGGGTATCTTCAATTCCAAAACACTGGTCACAGGACACTCCGTGAAATCTACACAGCCTTGGCAACTATGCCATCACTTCCAGAGTCTTTTTCTTTCTTTCCTTGGACTTTCTAGACACCTATTTTTAGTCTGAGTAGAAAGTGACTGTTTGGGTTTCTTTTTTATTTTTCCACTTTCTGGCAAAATTATCAGGATGAAAGAAAACAGAGCAGAAGGGATGTTTCCACACAGCTGTGCTGGTACTCCCTTCCACTGAATCGTTCTCTGAGATGGCCTCATTTCTTTCTTCATTTAATTTATTCCTAACTCTTCTTCCCTCTGATCATACAAGCATTTATTTTAGAGAATTTTAGGAAATACATAAAAGTGCAGAGAAGAAAACAGAAGTCACCCACCCATAATCTCATCCACTATAGTTAAGCGCTGTTGACATTTTGGTATATATCCTCCTAGTTTACATTTTCTCTCCCTCAGCAAAAATAAACAGCTTTAGTTATCTTATAGATTCAAAAAAGAACTTAAACTGAAAGTAGTGTCTGGTAACCTGCTTTTTCCACCTGACAATGTACAGTCATGAACATTCTTCTCTCTGATCTTGTGCGCACATCTCTTGTTATTTCTTAAAGTTAAGTTCCTAGAAATGGAAATGCTGGGTCAAAGGATACCAATATTTTTTAAGCTTTTGATACATTTTGCCAAGTGCTGAAATGACCTCATTTCTTGTCTTCTAAAAAGTTCCATATGCCTATTAAATTCCCACCCCTAAGTCAAGTGAGGAAAGACAGTGAAGACGAAATGTGGGAAGGCCTATTTTGGTAGAGAAAGGGGACGCCGTAACTGGGCAAGCAACGGAGAAGCAATAGCAGATATGCCTCAAAACTACGTTAAACGACAGCTTCCTGTAAGTTCCATGGAGATAAATGGAGTGCAACAAGTTGACTTTCCACATTTCCGGCACCTGCACGGGAAACTGATTTCCTGGCGCCCGGCTCGCATGCAGCCAGTACCTCACATAGTCTCCACTCTTCTTATTCACACTGTAGTTTGTCAGGTGCATGAACTGGTTCCGAATGTTCTTGGCTCCTTGATCATATCGCACGGTTGCAAACCTGATAGAAAAGACACAAGTTAAATGCCAGGAACAGGGGTTCAAGGAAATACAGGCTTGAACTCAGGATCAGTGTGATACTAATAAAAGGAAGGTGACGTCATTAACAGTGAGTGCTTAATAAATGCCCACTCCCATAGTGTTTCATATATACTATGTAATTCATTCCTTAAAGCAATTCTCTGAAGTGGGTAATATTATATCTGATTTTTAGGGTAGACATAAAAACTAAAATGTAACCTGGAAAGATTAAGTAACTTGTCCAAAATCACTTGTCCAAATGGATGTACCACATCTATTCTTGATACAAACCCTCAACAAAGTAGGTTTAGAGGGAACATACCTCAACATAATAAAGGCAGTATATGAAAGACCCACAGCTAATAATCATCCTCAATGGGGAAAAACAGAGCTTTTCCTCTATAGTCAGGAGTAAGACAGAGATGTCTGCTCTTACCACTTTTTCTTCAACCTAGTACTGGAAGTCCTAGCCTCAGCAATCAGACAACACAAAGAAATAAAAGGCATCCAAATCAGCAAGGAAGAAGTCAAACTTCTGCTATTTGCAAATGACATGATACTATAGATAGAAAACCCAAAAGACTTCACCCCAAAACTCCTAGAACCGATCAACGAATTCAGTAAAGTCTCAGGATACAAAATCAACAAACAGAAATCTGTTGCAAAGAATTCTACGTACCAATAATGAAGCAGCAAAGAGAAATTAAGGAATCAATCCCATTTACAATTACACCAAAAACAGTAAGATACCTAGGAATAAACCTAATCAAAGAGGTGAAAGACCTATACTCTGAAAACGATAAAACACTGATGAAAGAATTGAAAAGCATCCCATGCTCATGGATTGGAAGACAAATAGTGTTAAAATATCTATACTACCCAAAGCAACCTACACATTTAATGCCATCCCTATCAAAATACCACCAGCAGTTTTCACAAAGCTGGAACAAACAATTCTAAAATTTGTATGGAGCCACAAAAGCTCCCAAGTAGCCAAAGTAATCCTGAGAAAGAAAAGCAAAGCTGGAGGCATCACAATTTCAGACTTCAAGCTGTATTACAAAGCTGTAATCATCAAAAACAGTATAACACTGGCACAAAAGCAGACACATAGGTCGATGGATCAGAATACAAAACCCAGAAATGAACCCACAACAGCACGGTCAACTCATCTTTGACAAGGCAGGAAAGAATATCCAATGGAAACAATAAGTCTCTTAAACAAACGGTGTTTGGGAAAACTGGACGGCAACATGGTGAATGAAACAGGACCACCTTCTTACACCATACACAAAAAATAAATTCAAAATGGATGAAAGACCTAAATGTGAAACCCGAAACCATCAAAATCCTAGAAGAGAACACAGGCAGTAACTTCTTTGACATCAGCCATAGCAACTTCTGGATACATCTCCTGAGGCAAGGGAAACAAAAGCAAAAATAAACTAGTGGGACTTCATCAAAACAAAAGGCTTCTGTCCAGGTAAGGGGAAAAAAGAGAGAGAGAGAGAGAGAGAGAGAGAGAGAGATTAAGGAGTGCACTTGTGATGAGCACCAGGTGATTATGGAAGTGTTGAATCACTATATTGTCCACCTGGAACTAATATTACACTGTACGTTAATTAACCGGAATTTAAATTAAAACTTAAAAAAAAAAAAAAAAAAGGAAACAGCATGGCCAGTAACAAAATCAAGGCTGTCCAATTCAAAAGGCATGCTCTTAGTCACAATGTTGTTGTCTCTTATACATCTGGTTAAATGTTGAAACAATCATTTCTCCCTAAATTGAATTATTTTCTCACCCACAATACTGCTGTTTGCAAATCTGGCTGTTGTAATAATGTGTTGCATTTCCATACGTAATGTTAAGTTCAAAGAAAACAACTTTAATAAATACATAAATTCCAACCCCCCACCCCCCCATCACACTGACTCCACAACACATGTTCTTAACCACAAGATGCTGTTTCTCTGATAGAACCTTAGACAAACAGGAAGGATGAAAAACGAAAACAGAGTTACCCATGCCTGGGAAATTGTGTACACGACGCTGTGGATGACAGAGCATTTGCTGGTCAAGACACCTATGGGGTGCCTATACGGTGCTGGCACCATAGCATTCTATGGAAACTATTAAGCAAAAAGAATAAAATGACAGCAGAATGGTATATTTAAAATACACGTCTATAGAAATAACAGAACTGACCTATAAAGTTCATTTTAGGAAAACAATAATGGCAACATTAACAGCACACAAAACCTAGGTCTGCAGGACAACATAACTATGAGCATAGAGTAGGAGACTAATTCCTGAATTTGGAATGAAGGCAAAAGACAGAGGGATTAAACATGGAACCCACTGAAAACAGAGCAGCAATTTGATATCCTGGACTACTGTCAAAAGAAGACCAAAGTATAAAATATACGTGCCTCTGAAGGAAGTAACCAGGGAAAGAGAAAACTTTCCAGTGATGCTCAACATCAACAAAAGGACACTCGAGTCGAATGGTTATGGTAAATATCAACCCCTGTTTACATACCACTATAACCATATCACCCCTCACTAAAGTGGTTTTCCCAAGAGGCATATCCAAGTGTGTGAAAAAAAATCCTGGACGGCCACAAGTTTATTTTCATATGATTTACAAATTATTTACATATGCTTACTCAGACTATGAAGTCAACATGAATTTTTACCACATTAAAGGGCAGCATTTAAAAATTTTCCTCTTCTCTATTTCTTCTCACCCACCCACTATCTCTTCCTAATTCCCTGTACTAGAAATATACAAAAGCCAAAGAAAGAGAAGTGAAAAACAACCCCTGCCAAAAACCCAAAATTAAAATAAACAAACATGAAGACAGGAAGAAGGATGTGGACAAAGAGAAAATGTTGACCAGGCATGTACGGCTAAGGGACAAGGGCTTGATGGCCATCTATCTGTGTGTGAGAAGGACCTGTGATTTTTTTCAGAAACTTCCACTAGTTACCACCTAACTTCTAACCATGCCACTCCATGATGAGTAAACCTTGCCTGTGTATCCCAATCTTGCTTCTGTAGACATTCTCCAACCAAGCAGGAGACCATCATTCTCTGAATCCTTCTGAAATGCACAGAGGACCCACGCGGCCCCACAGAGGCTGCCTGCCTCATCCAGACATTACCTCACAGTGACATACCTCCTGCCATCCTCTCCCCTAGAAGAATAATGATTGAGAGGGAGGGAAAGGGTTCTGCTTCAGAGAAAGAGGGTTTTCATCTCTTCTCAATAAGAGTATCTGATCTAACCTGGTCAACAAGAAAAGCCTGGCAAAAGCCTGGCGGTTGACTCACCTGGTATTCCACACATGTCATTTTTACGCCCTTTTTTTCAATAGAACTGCATCTCTAAAAAGTAAGTTTTCTTCCTCCTAATCATCCTTCTCACTGAGGAATTTATATTCTCAACTCCAGCAAGGACAAGATTATTAGTGTCACAGAGTGGGTCTCTAAAGAGTGTAAGAAGCAAGAATTAGAGAAAAACAAAAAAACTTAAGCTCAATGGAAAGTTATCAAAAGAGCCAAAAACTACACTATTTCCTTAGCCTGACGGAGAACGTGGAAGACCACGTAGGTGTGTGTGCTCATCTTTCCTGCTAAGCCAGGAAGATACCACGCTTCTCACCAAAGTCCCTATTAAACAGACCACTTCCATCTCTGGTCACCATCTTCCAACATTTCCTTTGTATCGTCTAGACCAAAGGTCCCACTGGCCTACTAATCAAGTTCTGATTAACCCACAAACTTAAAAAAAAAAAAACTTGAATGACTTGGCCAACATTTAAAAATCAGACCTTCCTTCCTGCAGCCAGCGCTTACGTAAGGAAGATGGACAGGATAGGAAGGCAGCCCACAGGCAGCACAAGGAGGTTATCCGTGTAGCGTGGCGGCCTCACAGGGGTAAAAATCCACACAAGGAGGGCATCTGAGGGGGGCGGTGGCCAAGGTGGTTGAGAGATTGGCTACACAAAAGGGAACTGAGTATATATAAATATGTTAGAGATAATGGGAGTCAGATTTCTCACTGTTGGAGAAGAGAGATACAGGCAGACAGACTGCAGCTTCCGGCTGTGTGCTCACATGGTGAAAGGAGCCAGGAAATTCTCTGTGCCTTCTTTTATAAAAGGGCACTAATCACATTCATGAGGGCTTCACCTTCATGGCATAATCACCTCCCAAGGACCTAACCTCCTAATACCATCACCTTGGGGGGCGGAGGGGGGGGCGGGGGGGGCGGGGGGGGACTTCAACATATGAATGGGGGGGGGGATACAAACATTCAGACCACAGCACCACCACATATCAACGAGTTGCAGGCACTGAATAGTAAATGCCCTTAAGTGGCACATGTGATCTCCAGCTTTCACCAGAGCAACTTTTTCAGTGAATGTCCTTGTGAGCCTTTAGGTTTGTGACCTCCTGATTTAGACCTTCACATATCAAATTTCAGCCTGTTGAGGTCAAAAAGCTTCAACACAAATTCTTTATTAGCCACAATCTTAAAGAGGTAATTCCCTACTAGCCACCCCAGGACCAAGTTTGCAAATACTGCTCCTAACACATACTGAAATCTACATGATGCACTGAGTCTTGAACTTCCCTCTTAATGAAATCAAGATTTATAAAAAGCTCTAATGACAGAAAAAAAAAAAAGAGGGGGGATGGGGAGCCTCTACTTCTTCGCCAAATCTGAAATTCTGGGTACTATTTCATAGCCTACCGATGAAGAGAGAAGCATATGCTTTTTTTTTTTTTTAACCACACTGAAACATATGTAGATTAACTTTATTCTGACAATGAATTCTTAAGTCAGAAGCCACACTTCTAATGCTTCTCAGTGAGAATGGAGACAATGGTAACAACCTGTCTAAAACTCGAGTGTCTATGTGAAGGCAGGGTTCCCGTGTTAGACACATAGAAGGTACTGGATAACATGAACTGAAGCTGCACCTGAGCTGCTTGTCCCAGGAACTTCACCAGTATGGAAGCAAAGCAGGAAGGAAAGCACAGAATTCATGGAATCCTCTAAACTCCCCTCCTCCATTCAAAAACTGTTTTGTTCTTCAAAGATACTGCACCATAGCCAGAGTCACGGCTAATCTGGATGTAGGACACTTGGTCCCTCCCCTCTGATAGTCACATAATCTAACACACATTCAGTCCAAATGCACAAAGGAAAGAGGAGGCCGGCCCTGTGGAGATCCTGGCTGTGGCACAGGAGTTATCTTTCAGCAGGTGTAGCCATTCCGAGCCAGAGAGGCCTGGAGGACGAAGAGACAGCACCTCAGGCAGCCTTGCCAGGAGCCACTGGGTTTCATCCTGGCCTGACCCAGAAAAATCTTATGGAAGAGAACAAGAGGCCCGAGAGCTCTCTGATCTGCTGTCAACCAGCTGCAGCCGAGAGAGAGACTGCCAAAGTGGGGCAGTGACTGGGCAGCGCCCCACAGAGCCGTCTGGGAGGGGATTACCAGCCTGATCCCCTGTCTTCAGAGCCAGAAATGACTCAAACTTCACAAACAGCAAGGGCCTGCCAGGGAGGGTGACAATGAGCACTGGAGAGGGTTTTCTTCCCCTTGTTGCTGTCTCTCCACCCCCCCCACCCCCCCTCGCTGCTGTGGCAGAGATTCTGGACAGTGTGCAGCCTGTGAGGTAATCTGAATTCCTTGGCAACCAGCAAGTACCTGAATTCTTTCAAAACCGCAGGAATCCAGCAGAGAAAAGGTAAATATCCCTGCGGAGCCAGTGTTAATTAGCAAGGAAGGCTACTGAAGAAGGAACTGGGGGTGGGGAGGAAGGCAAAGGCATTACTAATGCTTTTGGGGTCTTTTCTGAATTTCCACTGAATAACACGACTGAGGCAGAGAAAAGGCAGATCCTGAGTGGGGCCTGCTCAGGGACCTCTCCCCCCACCTCCAGTGAGGATGGGAGTCTCCGGTCCCTGGCTGGGCACCTTCACTTCCCCACGTGGCGAGTGCTACCTATCTTTGGGTCTCTGACAGCGTTATTTGCTTTTCAAGTCCATTCTGTTCTAATTTCTTTTAACTTTTTATTTTTCCTGTTTCAGTGAAAATTTGGCTATTAGCTCCGGCTCAAAAAGGGCCTTGTCAGATCGTTTAGACCACATACTGGATCCACGGAAAACTGTAAAATCCAGGACAAAGTCTTTTTGGATTCCACCTCTGACAAGAAAGAGAATCTACACCATTTTGGTAGAGAATGGAGCCCCTCTCTGGAAACTGAGTGTCCCCTGCTGGTGCAAAGCAAGAACATACTCGTCAAACTCAAAAGTAGGGTGGACCTTTTGGGGCAAAATGCTGGGCCCAACTACAATTTTTTTCTAAACATCTCAATATTTTGCCCAGGTGTGAGAAAATAATGACAGTTTTCCTGTGTTAATAAAACAACAACAAGGACACCTGGAAATTATGACTCTAAAAAGAAACTATTTCTGGTCTTTTTTCTTAAGTTTAAAAAGGTCAAGAATTAACACAAAATATTTACTTCACAAAACAGTCTTGTGAAATGAATTTAATCTTTATGTCGCCTAAGCATTAATTCGAGGCCCAAAACAAGTGTTACGGGATAAGACCCTTCTTTTCTAACGAGGAAGCCAATTATATCTGCTGCCAGGGCTGTCTCTTTAGGAAAAATTACGGTTTTCCTTGTTGAGCCTCGAAGTAAAATGGCCTAGTGATCTCATCCCAAACTGCTTATCTTCAGTAACATCTACATAAAACACACGTGACTCAAAATTACTAGAGGCTGCAGATCCAGAGAAGCTACAGACTATTGCTGGATGTGGTGACACAGTTGAGCGGATTCTGAGGATTAAAAAGTAGATGAAAGCCAAGATACACAGTGAGTTAAGACACAGGAACCTGAGGGGCGCCTGGGTGGCTCACGGTTAAGCGTCCAACCTCGGCTCAGGTCATGATCTCCGGTCCGGGAGTTCGAGCCCCGCGTCGGGCTCTGGGCTGACAGCTCAGAGCCTGGAGCCTGCTTCGGATTCTGTGTCTCCCTCTCTCTGCCCCTCCCCTGCTCACACTGTCTCTCTCTCTCTCTCTCTCTCTCTCTCTCTCTCTCTCAAAATAATAAACATTTAAAAAACTTTTTTAAAAAAGATACAGGAACTTGGGCACCTGGAAGTTATGGTGCAGAGCAACGTAGCCTGGCAAGACTTGCTAAGAGCCTGACATACTGCACCGTCCTTGGGTCAAGCTTTTATATTCACCAATGCTTTTAGCTTAACTGTGACAAAGTCCTCAAAAGTCCTATTATTTGCTTCAATTCGGACTAAGTTTTTAAAAAGCTGTCTTCTAAATTATTCTGGGGGGGAAAAAAAGCATCCATTAAAAGACAGTACACACACACCCACACATACATGCACTCAGTTCCTGCTGGAGGCAAGAGAAGACAGTTATTCGATTCAGTGGATTCTGACTTCCAACACACACCCAGTAGCCAAAGCACTGGCATATCGGTAGTAAATTCTATAATAAACATTGGTATTGCTCTCATTTCATATCTGAGCCACTGAGGCCTTAAAGCTATGCCAAATTTTACCAATAGAAAGGGCTATTAATACGGTGAATGCGGGGCGCCTGAGTGGCTCAGTTGGTTGAGCATCTGACTTTGGCTCAGGTCATGATCTCGCGTTCCATGGGTTCGAGCCCCGCATCGGGCTCTGTGCTGACACCTCAGAGCCTGGAGCCTGCTTTGGATTCTTTGTCTCCCTCTCTGTCTGCCCCTCCCCCCACTCGTGTTCCAGGTCTCTCTCTCTCTCTCTCTCTCTCTCTCCTCAAAAATAAAAATAAATAGAAAAAAATACTGTGAATGCAATGTCTTGGGAGCAATATGCCAAACATGCTGGTATGATATCCTTGAGAAACAGTGGGTATACCTTGAGGTCTTTTCCCTACTCAAGAAGTTCAAATTGTGGCAGAACGTAATGAGCCCCTGAGAAGGGCACAAGAGGCACGATGGGGTGACGACAGAGGGAGGGAAGGGAGTGGAGACGCTCACGCTACACAAGGGCAGCTCAGATCATCTTAACTTACAAAATGGAAAACCCCCAGCACCTTGCTCACCTGAGCAGAAGTAAGGGTATATCTTCCCTTCTTTTTAATCTAGAGAGGATGGGGACTCAGCTTTTAAACCTGTGCTTCAAAGTAGGAGAACACACGTGCCTCTAAACACCACAGAAAACTTCCTGCCTGTGAAAATCTGATCAGAGCTAGGAGTCAGTTGGCACTCAGATGGTGGTTCAGCCCTTTACCTAAAAACTGAGAAATGTTAGTGTCCCCCTCCTCGATATTCAATATTCGTGGAACAGGAGTCCAGAACCATGGAGCTTCAGTAGCCTCCAGTGTTCCTCAGGCTCCAACTCAGACATCTCAACTTAGAAGAGGACAATGTTTATGAATGCTGTCACTGCCACCTAGAGGTGAAAGGAAGGCACGGCTCAGCCAGCTACAAGCTGGTTAACCGAGCTCACCCTCCGATTCTAGTCATAGGATGCACCAAAGAATTTAGGTACGTGATGTAATTAAAAAAGTATTCTAAAATAACAGTTTCCAGAGTACAATAGCATGTGTCAAAGTAACTAAACTTAAATAGGTAGCCTGCTTTTCCACCGTGAGATTTCCCATCTTCCAAGTGCATTTTCTAAAATACACAAACACACACAGGCCATGCTTTTTAGCTTGTCATGGCTGACCGTGGGTACAAAGCACCCCCCCCCCCCCGAACTGCTGTGCCCTATAAGGCCCCTCACATAAAAGGAACTTCACGGTAAGCGAGCTAGTAAATATATATTATACGGTGCAAATGCTAGTTTTGTGGGGGAAAGGAACACAAGCACAGCAAAGTTATGTATTTATTTTAAACAATGTAAAGGGCCTATGAAAATATTATTACTTGTAAAATTCTGTGGCTGTGGGGGAAATTTTTCAGATTATTACAACTTGAACTCAATTTTGTAAGTAAGTCACATTACCTTAAAACCTAAAAAGTACCTCAAGAGAAACAAAATAATGTATAAACAATCACTGTGAAGCATATTACTTGCTGGGGGGGGTGGGGGTGGGGGGTGGGGTGCAGCTAATGCCCCCAAAATACAAGAGGCATGAAACAGCTCAGGCCATGAGCTCTGGAGTCAGATCCATGAGTTCAAATCCCACTCCACCACCATCTGGCTGGAAGCGCTCCAAAAAGTGACCAAGCTCCCTTGTCCCAACTGCAAAACTGCATCAACTGTAAGGCTGTTGTGAGCATTGAAATGAATGTTTGGTATGTAACAGGTAATAAATGTGGGATTTTTTTTTTCTGGTTGAGTTGTAAAGAACAATGACAAATTAGCTTAATGCCCCAGGGTCACCATAACAATTGCCACTGCATGAAAATGTACAATGTGATCCTACAGCCCGGCTGGCAAAGGTGTGTGTTTACATACAGATGGTTATTCCCACCTGCGGATATACAAGTGCAGCTTAAAGTAACACGACTGATTTTCTGTAATCTGAAATCCAGCTGGGTACACTCTGTTTTTCTGAGTTGAACACAAAAGAGAGAAACAGCCTGATCTTAACACACTCTTTAATGGATTCACTCTGATAAACACCCCTCCTCCCCCAAAAGTCTCTTACCTAGCCAGCCCTTCTTCATAGAGATAGATGACAAGGGGATCGTAGGAAGTCACAAGCACATAGAGGCGCACATCAAACTTGAAATCTAGAAAAAAAATTGGGGTTCACAGGAAAAATGCAGGTCATTTGTTTTCTGTTGTAAGACGAACAAGACAATGTAACAAAGAAATATGAAAGAAAGAATAATCTCCCAACAAAACGCACACTGCCTGCAGCACACCTTGCCTTCTGAGAATAATTATATATTTCATATATGTGTGTGTATATATATGTGTGTATATATGTATACATATATATGTGTGTGTATATATATATGTGTATATATGTATACATATATATGTGTGTATATATATACACACACACACACATAAAATGTGAAAGAGAGCTTACATAGACGTACCACACGTGCTGTGGTACGTATAGCACATATATGTGCTATAAAGCATTTGCTTTTCTATTCATTTCTATTTCATTGTCAAAATAATCCCACAAGGTACAGAAGGCACCAGCCTCATCTCTGGGGCCACAGCTGCCAAGAACTTCACACTAGCTTCATAAAGGCTTACTAGAGAAGACTGTGAAAATATGTTTTAAAATTAGCAAGATCTAGCCCAGTCCAGCCAACAGCCTAATCTCAACTCACCATCTATGAGCAGGGGGTTGTTAATGTAACGGGAGACCAGGATGTTCTCTTCCAGGGAAATCTGGTTCGGCTATGGAGTAAAGACAAAGAATAAAAGGACAGAAATGCAAAGGAATCCTAATTTACAATAAGGGAGCAGAGTTCTTGACCTTTTAGAAATGATAAAATGGCAAACTAAAACTCTAAGACAAGTTTTCCTACAAGCTACCTCTATATTCAACTGGCCACATAACACTTAGAAACACTACGGATATCCAATTACAGCAGGGGTGAAAAATAAATTTACACAGCACTTGTCACATAATAAATAGAGCCATAACAGCTTTAAAGATTTATATACATGATATTAAATAGTTACATGCCAAGACAATAAAAGCTACTTAAAAAATAAATAAAAATGTGTTTTCTCCCAAGCGTAAAGGATGATGGAAATTTTAAAATACTACCATTATTCTTTTTTTTTTTTTCAAATGTTTATTTTTGAGACAGAGCGAGACAGAGCATGAACGGGGGAGGGGCAGAGAGAGAGAGGGAGACACAGAATCTGAAGCAGGCTCCAGGCTCCGAGCCGTCAGCACAGAGCCCGATGCGGGGCTTGAACTCTCAGACTGTGAGATCATGACCTGAGCCGAAGTCACACGCTTAACCGACGGAGCCACCCAGGCGCCCCTAAATACTACCATTATTCTTAAGTGAAGACTTTCATTAAGTTGCTTAGAAAACTTACAGATCTTTCCACAATGGATCCTGGCATTTGGGAAATGGGATGGATGTTTCATGGACTCATCAGTTGTAGGTCCTATGCCACTACGTATCAAGACTGAACTAGCCCTTTTAAAGAGTTTTTCCATGAAAAAAGAGTTGTTTCTACAACAAATAATCATGAGTATTTGGATACTGTATAAGGTACTTAGGATACAGTGATGAACAAAACACAATCTCTGCCCTCAGAGCCTAATCCCTACTTCTGAAGAGTTTAATATTTAGGTAAAGGGACAGCAAAATATAGAGGTTTTTCTGGTTTTTTTTTTAATGTTTGTTTATTTGTGAGAGAATGCGAACAAGGGAAGGGCAGAGAGAGGGAAACAGGATCAGAAGCAGGCTCTGCGCTGACAGCAGTGAGCCCGATGTGGGACTCAAACTCACAATCTACAAGATCATGACCTGGGCCAAGGTCGGACGCTCAACCAACTGAGCCACCCAGGAGCCCCAAAATATATAATTTGAAAGAACACAAAGCAGCATATCTGCAAGCACAAGACATGAGACTGCAAAACAGAAGTGCAGACGAGTTAGTGGGATGATCAGTCAGGGAAGGCCTTTCCTGGAAGAGTAGGTGCAGAAGTGAGTGTTGAAAGCTATTGAGCACATGGTAGAAAGGAAAGGAAGCTGCCGTGGAAAGATGGCAGGCACAAAGCTCAGGAGAAAGGACAGGAGACAGATTCACTGACCTGGGGCTAAAAGACAGACCTGGGGAATAATGAAAAGGTATGGTTAGAATATTAGGAGACCCCGCTGGCAAAGGGATTCGAACCCCCAACAAGGGTTAAGTTGGTCTGAACATGGTGGGAAGCAGGAAATTATTATGGATTCTTGATTAAGTAAATAGTAAGGTTAAAATATAGGGAATAGCACAACTCTGTGTGGGATTATATTAAGGCAGAAACACGAGCTGGAAGCCACCACAATCTATCCAGGACAAAAGGAGTCCAAAAGGGAAGTGGCTATAGTAATAACTGTAATGGTAACAGCTACGGTAGTGGCAACAGAAGTAACGATTAAAATTTGCAGAAAAAAATACAATTTAACAAATGCACTGAATGAACATTTGCTGTGTGTCTAGCGCTGTTCTAGTTTTTCACAAGTATTATTTCACTTAATCCTCCCCCAACCCTACGAGGCAGGTATATCACCATCTAAATATTACAGATGTCACACAGTGACAGAGCAGCATTTGAACTCAGGCAGTCTGCCTCGGAGGCTTAACTCTTAGGTACTATTCACATCTTTTCCCAAAGTCCTGACCTATAATACTGTCCCCCAATTTCAAAAGACTGTCTTTATAGCAGTGCATTTGCTACCCCCAAATACTACATAAAATAAGGATAACTTTGTGGCCCGTAATATCAAACATGATGAGCAACCCCAGGGTCAAGAGAAAGAGACTCCCCTCTCATTTCCCACTGTTGCTGTCCCACACTCAGAACACAACTTTCACAACCCATCTCCCTGCATCACACGGACATGGCAACAATCACTGCTGATTCATACTCATGGACTTGAGCACCCACACCATTTCCAGACTCCCTTACTTTTCGTGATCACTTTCTCACAAGTGCTATCGCCATTTGGAGTCGAGTTAGTGCGTAAGAACTGATGAATCATAGCACAAAGGAGCAAGCCTCAAGTCTGTGTTCCAAACCTAAAATAAAGTTGCAGACCTCTTCCCACTGAGTAACACCTACAGGTTGCAACAGATATCGACCACCCAACTTTCCTCTGAACCAGAGACTACCCTGGTAATCATCTTCATTCCATAACACATCTACTGTCCTTGCCCATTTCCCCTCTTCCCTCCCTCGTCATACACATTTGTCCCCTGGGTTATGCGTAACATAATCTCGCACATTATTTAGGTAACTTTACTATTTGTTCAATGGTCTGAACCTCTCATCTCTACCTGCACCAGGAATTCAACTGTAACCTCAACAAAGAAGAGAAGGGTCTGGGTATAGTTTTTTTGTGTAGTGTTACATACATTACATGAGTTGCTAAGAAGCAACTAACGAAAGCCTTTTGATATTTTCAAGCCTGTTTCCTTTTCATCCATCCCCAACTGACTCATTTCAAATGAGTTCAAGTCCAAGCTCCAAAGTATGCTAAAGCAAGATCTAAAGTGTTGGGAAAGTTGGAAATACATCCATTTTTCTAAATGGACTTTAAGACTAAATCTCATGGTATCTGTTAAGTTGTTGTAAGGTAGAGTGGTACAGTGGTTAAGAGTGTTATGCTCTGGAATCAGCTAGACCTGAATTATAATCTTGACTCTACCACTTACCAAGGAAATAACAGTAACTACCTCATGGGGTTCTTCTAAAGACTACCTGGGTCTATATTTGGAAGGCACAGGGGTAGGCACACATTAAATGCTCAAGAAATATCAGTTACTACTCTTAGTGCAAACTCCGTAGCGCCTCTAGGGTTCTACGAAGTTCCACAACCCAACAGCCTGCATCATCATCATAGCACTCCACACGCCCTTCCGCTCAGAGCCGTGCACCGAGTTATAACGAAGATACGTTAGCTTAGTATCAGTGTTAGCATTAAGAGATAATCCCTACTCCTCAAAAGGTTTTAAGGAGCAGCAGCACCTGGCACACAGCAAGGACTCCCTAAATATTTCTTGAACAATGAAGAAAAAAATAAGAGAGCACTTAAGATAACAACATATAAACAAATAGAAACAAGAGAGCTATACAGAATTATATTCACAGAGTAAATAGAGTAAACCAAATACTCCCCTGCTACTTCAAAATCTCAAAGAAAACATTAATATGAGATAATGTGTGAGGCAAGAATGACAAAGAAGAATGATCTGACTTCCATTATCAAAGTCACACCTTAATCAGAAAATGCCAGCGCTTTCCCTCCTCGACTTGAATATACTAAATTGGGAAAATACGGCACTTAGTCACGGAGGGAGATGGAGCAAACAGAGCTCTGCTCCTCTGGGCTGTATTTCTAGAGTTAATAGAGCACATCATAAGAGAGGAAGGTAGCTGACTGGCCAAGATAACTTCCGTCTGCAGGAGCTCATACTTCTCTCTTCAGTATTTCATAAAAGTAACGCTTTTTCGGGGCGCCTGGGTGGCGCAGTCGGTTAAGCGTCCGACTTCAGCCAGGTCACGATCTCCCGGTCGGTGAGTTCGAGCCCCGCATCGGGCTCTGGGCTGATGGCTCAGAGCCTGGAGCCTGTTTCCGATTCTGTGTCTCCCTCTCTCTCTGCCCCTCCCCCGTTCATGCTCTGTCTCTCTCTGTCCCAAAAATAAATAAACGTTGAAAAAAAAAATTAAAAAAAAAAAAAAAAAGTAACGCTTTTTCTATCCTTTATCCTGTTCTTGTAATGGTAAAAGTTGCTGTTTGCAGATATTTTCCAAAAGGTTATGACTATTATTGGGAATTTTTAGTGAGAGCCCCTCTCCAGTGGGGAAGACAGGGAAAGGTATTTTTATTTGGCCTTCACACCTAACTCCACCCACCCCCCAAGTCCCGCACCCGCTCACTTCAGTTCAGCTCACAGACCCTCTCTGCCTGAGCACTCCGGCCCCCTCCCCCTCAAATCTGAAAGGAAAGCAGGCAGCAGCCTTGGAAAGAGTTACTTCATCCAGTTGGCTAATGGGTCACATATTCCATGGGAAAAGATCCAGGTATGGAAAAGGGGATGGTGAGGCCTTGTGCATAAGCAGAGAGAGAAGAGTATTAACTACATGGTTTGTAGGCCTGCGTGAAAGGTGATAAAATTCCAGTTTGGGGAGTGAAATGGGAATATTTTCCCATTATGTCCACATGTTGCCAGCCCCCACCCCCCCCCCCAACCCGTGCCTGCTGGCATCTTCCCAGGCTTCTGTCTGGCACCTCCACCAAATGCCTCAAAGAATCAGACTCATTCCAAAGCCTCACTGAGGAGGAGGAGGGAGGCAAAGGGTCCTGCCAAGTACTTTGATCTACGCAGGGGGTCTCTAGGGATTCAGCCCAGGGAGAGGTGGGAGGAAGAAGGAGAGCCTGCCAAATGCATTCTCTAAAGACTTGTCACCCTCCTTAGGAGACTCCATCCAGGGAAGAGTCAGGGCACGGGGTTCTCAGCCCCACTGAGGAAAGTTTAACTTTTCTATCCTTTATGATGTTGGTTTCAAAATAACAAATCACTAGGGCAAAAGAGCATTCCAAAAGAAAAAAAAAAGCCCCAGATGAGCTGGAAATAGATCCTATTCTTTTTGACTCATGTCTAAGAAAATAAAAAGCAAACTTGTACCACAGTTGACTTTCAATAGCAATTCCATTTGGCAGCTAAAACCCAAACCCAAACCGGTGCCGTCTATGAGATTCAAACAACACTGGAGCCCCTGGCGCGGAGCTGAAGGAAAAGCTGTCCGACAGGAGCCTTCGCGCCAAGGTCAGAACAGAAACGAGAAAAGAGAGATCCAAAGCATGTGACCAGGGCCTTCTGTCACAAGACACTCCAGGGAAAAGGGCCTCCAGAGTGACCCGGGGCCAGGTAACAGCACTTGTAGCCTGGGGCTCAGGCCAGCGTAGCTGCTGTACCAGAACCAGATCCTGTTTTTCTGTAGCACGTAAGATCTGCTATTATTGCTATTACTGCTCAGTTTTCAGTCCAGACTGAATTTAAGGACTTTTCAATGTGAAAGACCTCTCAGAAAGTTAGTTTCTGCGCGTGTAGGAAATAGCTCAGACCATGTAAAAAGAGAATTGGGGAATTTAAAACAGAGTACTTGACCTCCCCCCTGCCCCCCCCAACACACTCCCTTTCTTCCCTTCCAGAGTCCCACTGGAAGGACAGTGAAGAGGTTTTTAAAAGAATGAAATAATAACAAAGCTAGAAAACATTTAAAGGAGCCAATAAGAGACCAAAAGTTTAAGGAAACCCTGGAAGATAGAAAGCAGATGGGATCAGGTTGAGAAAACAGAGCAGAAGAAGGAAAATAACAGAGGTGAGGGTGATCTCAAGGAGCCTCTGAGAAATTCCAAGCTGGCAGTGAACAAACATGGCCCAGGAGTGGGCCGAGGAACAAGAACCAGGTAATTAATTCTTAATTAAGTGAGTGGCCCTCCTCCAACACCCAAAGCTTGGCCCTCAGAATAGAACCTAACGATGATACTCTGGGGAGGACGTCTTGTTGTCAGTAGAGAGATCTGACAGAGGAGTGGAATTTGAGGCCACTCTATCCCTACAACAGACACAGAGGAAAAGACAGGAAAGGTAGTGCTGACCAGAGGGGAAATCACCAAAATCTTCCTCTGTATTCAGAATAAGGCCTGCTCTATTTTGGCAGGGGTGGACAGAAAGAAACACACTCCTCACTCCCATCCACTCCCAGCCTGTGAGTCAACACAGTTTGCCCTTGCACAAAACTGAGTTAGCCTCCTGTCCAGGGAGAAACTACTAGGGAATTACTCCTACAGGACAGTACGGGAAACCTAGGTCAGCTGTCAATTTCAATCGGTCTAGTCTTTTGTTCACAAATACAACTCAACATCTAAGGTCACTGAAACTGAGAAAGCCCAACAGCATGGGGGGGAGAAGGCAATCCCAAGAAAATACACAAAACAGAAGAGAACTTTTAAAAAACTTTCAACTGATACTCTTACTAAGGCCAACTGGCAAACTGTATCCATTAATCCATTAAGCAACTACAGGCTGTTATTAAAGAAAACAAAAAGGCAAATCAGAAAAAAAGTTTCTACAAACTATGATAGCCAATACATAAATACAGTAGATGAAATGAACATTAAAATACATAAAGCTCAAACTGGTGATCCAGAAAGATCAAGATGGGGGAGAATCAAGAATTTAAAATCAGAGACAAGTTGACAAAAAAGAAAGACGAAGAATGCCTCAAAAAAGAGTTCTAGTAGCAGAGACAAAGATAAAAAAAATGGATAATTTCTCCTGAAACAAAGAAAAACACTAGTTTCCAGACTAAAAGGGTTGACCAAATGTCCAGAAGTAAGAATGAGAAAAGACCCAGAATGAAATGCTGGTGAAATTTCAGAATTCAATGCTGTGAAGTTTCTACTCAGTTTAATTAAGTTTTTTATTCAACTTAAAGATAAAGCAGAGAAATGAAATCACAGTTATTGAAGATAACATAATTGTATAAACCCTGAAATATAAAAGGTAGTCAGTAATGGAATGTGGAAGGGAGGGTAGATGGCAATGTGAGGGTGAAGCATATCAAAATGGGAATTAAACACATTGTAAAGAAAAGAAACATAAATCAACTATATTAGGTTAAAAACTACCGTTAGAAGTCTAGGAAGTGAGGGGCGCCTGGGTGGCTCAGTCGATTGAGCATCAGACTTCGGCTCACGTCATGATCTCACAGCGAGTTCAAGCCCCGCGTCGGGCTCTATGCTGACAGCTCAGAGCCTGGAGCCTGCTTTAGATTGTGTGTCTCCCTCTCTCTCTGCCTCTTCCCGCTCTCATGCTATGTCTCTCTCTCTCTCTCTCTCAAAAATAAATAAACTTTAAAAAAAAAAAAAAGTCTAGGAAGTGAGGCTGGGGTTGACATTTTATTTACTCTGTATACGTACTCGACTCAACAAACAACTTTGAATGAGGATTTGGCAAAGAATCAAGATACTGATGACTTTTGAAAAACAGAAGAGGATAAGGCAGAAGGAGGAGGAGAGAGGGAGATACAGAAATAGCGTCAAGAATTCCATACCACACCAAGGTTAATTTCCTCGATGACCTTGAGGGCAGGAACCCACAGTTCTGTTCACAAGAGAAACCAAATGTGTGTCCTACCAATGAATGCTTAGTGCTGAGGAATTAATATGACAATATGCTAAAAGTAGAAAAGGAACCTCTTTTCTGCTGACCCCAAAGGCTGCTCTTCCTCAACATGTGATCAAGTGACTTTTTAGCCATAAGGTAACTGTTGGCACAGGAAGAGGTTACTGACAGTAAGGTGAATAGTAGCCAACTCACACCCAACCTCACCTCACACTTCTGAATGCAGATTTCAGAAAGGAACACCTGCTCTCAATGAAAAAAAAAATCGTATCAGGAGGAGGGTGAAGCAGGGAAAAGCCAATAAGAAGAGAGGGTGCCAGGGCACCTGCCTGGATCAGTCGGTGGAGCGTGTGACTCTCAATCTGGTAGTTGTGAGTTCAAGCCCCATGTTTGGGTATGGACCTTACTTTAAAAAAAAAAAAAAAAGGGGGGGGGCCTGGGTGGCTCAGTCGGTGGAGCGTCCGACTTCGGCTCAGGTCATGATCTCACGGTCCGTGAGTTCGAGCCCCGCGTCGGGCTCTCTGCTGACAGCTCAGAGCCTGGAGCCTGCTTCGGGTTCTGTGTCTCCCTCTCTCTCGGACCCTCCCCCGTTCATGCTCTCTTTCTGTCTCAAAAATAAACAAACAAACAAACAAACATAAATAAATAAATAAAAATAAAAATAAAAAAAGCAGCAGCAGCAGAGGGTGCCACCTGCTGCATACTTACATTGTTGATCAGGTAGACGCCCCGCCCCCTAGAAGAGGCCACTGGTTTTACTATCCAAGGTCCCCGGTCCTTTGAGTATGAATCTGCTCAAAATATTGGGAGATTAAAAGGGAGAGAGAGAAACAAAGAGAAAGAAAGGACAAGAGTTTGTCATCTTAAATTTCAACAATGGTTAACTAGATACCCGAAGCATTCTCCAGGTTTGTAAGTGAAGGGCAGCACAGCTAAAATAACCTGTATTTCTAAACTAGCTTCAAAATGCACACAAAAACAGAGCAGGGGTGGGGAGGGAAAAGGAGGAGGAGGAGGAGGCGGCAAAATTACATATTTCTTCCACCATTTCCCCTTTTTTTTTTTTTTTAATTTTTTTTTTTCAACGTTTATTTATTTTTGGGACAGAGAGAGACAGAGCATGAACGGGGGAGGGGCAGAGAGAGAGGGAGACACAGAATCGGAAACAGGCTCCAGGCTCTGAGCCATCAGCCCAGAGCCCGACGCGGGGCTCGAACTCACGGACCGTGAGATCGTGACCTGGCTGAAGTCGGACGCTTAACCGACTGAGCCACCCAGGCGCCCCATTTCCCCTCTTTCTTGAATGAGAGAGTGAAAGCAAAGTAAGGCAACTATGTGATGTTGGTTTATCACTGTCACAAAACAGCCTTCACGAATCTTGAGATTCTCGCCTCCATTAACCCAAGTCCAGAAGCTCACACTGCAGAGTGCCAATATGAGTCAAACACTACGTCGCCTGAAATGACTAATTTCCTTAAGTGATCTCTCTTAGCTTGTAAGAAAAAAAAATCATCTTAAATCAAACCATGTGCAAGCGGCACAGGAGGACAATAATTTACAAGTGATTAAAAGGTGCCCTTTACCTTTTTATATACACAATATAGTGATTCAACATTTATATACGTAATGAAGTAACACAATGGGGGTAGTTACCCTGTGTCACCACACACGGTTATTGCAATTATTATTGACCATATTCCTACAGTGTACTTTTCATCCCTGTGACTTATTTACTTTAAAACTGGAAGCCTGTGCACCTGTGAATCCCCTACACCCGTTTCGCCCACCCTTCCCACCCACCTCCCCTCTGGCAGCCACCAGTTTGTTCTCCACACTGATGAGTCTTTTTCTGTTTTTTTTGTTTAAGATCCCACATATAAGTGAAATCATATGGTGTTTGTCTTTCTCTGTCTAATTTATTTCATGTAATACAATACCTTCTAGGTCCATCCATGTTGTCACGAATGGCAAGATTTCATTCTTTCTTTGCCTGAGTAATATTCCATTGTGCACGTGTATCATATCTTTATCTGTCATCTGTGGATGGACACTTAGGCTGCCTCCATATTTTGGCTATTGTAAATAATGAAGCAATAAACACAGAAGTGCGTATATCTTTTTGAATTAGTGCTCTCATTTTCTCCTGTAAATGCTGAGAAGCAGAATTGCCGGGTCATATGATATTTCTATTTGAATTTTTTCAGGAACCGCCACGCCAATTTTCAAAGCAGCTGCACCAACTTACATTCCCACCAACCATGCACACGAGCTCCCTTTTCTCCACGTCCTTGCCAATACTTGCTATTTCTTGTCTTTTTAACACTAGCCATTCTGACAGGTGTGAGGCGACATTTCCTTGTGGTTTTGATTTGCATTTTCCTGATGATGAGTGATGCTGAGCATCTTTCCACGTGTCTGTTCTTGATTTAACCCTCTCCTGTCTCCTCTGGGACCCCATTCCTTAGCTCCTATCTTCAAGCTCTCTCTCCTCTCTGGGTGCTTCTTCTCTTTTCCTCTCCCTATGATCACATCTACCTCCATACATGCGATTTCCAGAATCTATTGCCAGAACTCAACTCTGCCTTTACAACTGCCTGCACATCACCGCATGGAAGCCTCTAGGCATCTCAAATCCACACTTGCTCCCAAATTTCACACTCCTCATCCCTTTTAATAGCTCTTCTTTTACAGTTTTGGTTACACTCCCTGGTTAAAAACATGCTTCTTAGCAGGGCGCCTGGGTGGCTCAGTCAGTTAAGCGGCTGACTTCAGCTCAGGTCATGATCTCATTGTCTGTGAGTTTGAGCCCCGCGTATGGCTCTGTGCTGACGGCTCGGAGCCTGGAGCCTGCTTCAGGTTCTGTGTCTCCCTCTCTCTTTGCCCCTCCCCTGCTCACACTCTGTCTCTCTCAGTTTCAAAAATGAGTAAATGTTTAAAAAAAGCAAAAAACATTTAAAAAATGTGCTGCTAAGCTTCTTAACTTCCCAGATTCACACCTCTAGAGCCATCTTTGACCCTGGCCTCACTACTTAAAGCCAGCTGGTACACCCTGTTTATTCTATCGCTCTTTCCACTCCCTCTTTTCCATTCCAGCTACCTGGTTCGGTTCAACTGCACTTCTGCTCTGGATTGCTGCAATAACCTTCCAAGTGACCACTGTGTTCCTCCCCTTGCTCCCTCCAATTCGTTTCACACAATTATTTTTCTAAAGGCTAACCTGCGTTCCTTTCCTTCTCAAAAATCTCCTATTGCTCACACTCGAGGGGGCAATGGAGGGCAGGAACATAAGCCATGGAGAAAATGGAATTTCTGGGCTATCATATGGCAGGTGGACACCAAAGGAAGAGAAGAACTTAAAATAGCCTTTATGGAGAAGAGGAATGTCTTTCTGAAAGAAGTGGTACAAGTGGGTGTGTTTCTCCCCTAATATGTAGCCTTAGCAACGCAACTAACCCAACGATGTTGGATCTCCCCCAAATGACTTTTAGCTTAGAGGTCATGGACTCTGGACAACTGGCAAAGAATGAATGGCATCCTGGCAAGACTGAAATCAAGACGACTCCTCTTGACAATCATGTCTTCCCTCTCCCCCCTTTTCCACAAACATGGTGGGTCCCTGCTGTGGTCTTTGGTGATGACATCATTAAGTGATTTGTTTGGGGGACTGAAGAAAACCATTTGCCTACAGTAACTGTCCTGGGGCTAAACATGGTGGCTCTGAGTTACGGCTGTATTAATTCTGTGTGTTCTATTGACCTTCTGAATTCATTTTTGTTAAAAAGTAGAGCACATACGAGTTTGAATAATACGCTAAAGAAGCAATCCTACTGAAAGACAGGTCACGCTTGAACTGATGGAGGAATCCTAACTCTATCCAGTCATCTGAATGAGCATCCCCACCCCTGAACCTGCCTCCAAAGGGAAACAACAGGATAAGAAATAGCAGAGAGAGGACAAAGGGAATTTTCATTTCAGATTCCTGTAGACTTTAATAGGGAATTATTGTACACTTTAACAGGAGCAGTTTTCACACCTGGGCCATGTTGCTAACATGTTAGTTGAAGTATTTTTTATGCTATCGTGTTGGCTTATCGCATGATCTTTTATTATGTAACAATACATCTCAACGTCACTTGAAAAAGGGAATAACATTGAACACTTATTCAACACCTATCAGGTGCCATTCCAAGTGCTTTCCATGTATTAACCTATTTAAACATCCCAACAACACTATAAGGTCAGTACTAGTAATAAGCCCACTTTACAGAGGAGGAAGCTAAGGCACAGAGCAGTTTAAGTTATGTGGCTAAAGTCACATAATAAAAATTCTAAGCTGTAAGTTTTCGGCTTTGAGTCCAACAGAGCTCTTCTGACCCATTCCAGAGCCTTCTGTGGGCAAACACTGAACCGTCAAGTGTCCCCGCTGGAATAGGTGCTATCAGAGAAACGGCCTCACCAGGGTGGAAGCAGGAGATCCTGATGACGGAAGTCCCAGAGGATGAACCCCGCACTGGGCAAACCAGACTGTTAAGTCTTACAGGTTAAGAAAATCAAGGGTCAGGAAGTCTAGAGAGAACTTTCTCTTCTTCTCTCCATGCTTCCTCTACCCATAAGACAGGAAGAGTCTCTCTCTTGGACTTACCGAGAAGAAAGATATCTATGTGTCTGCCCTCCCCTCGTGTCCTCCTTGATCCTCTCTCACCGGTGTTACCGGGAAGTGGACACTGTGGGCACACTGCCCAGTGTCTTTATGCAACAAGGCCCGGTGGTGAAGAGTGCGGCCTCTAAAACCAAACCACGAAGTGTGAACCTGACGGCACCGTTTGCAACCTGCATGACTTTCAGAAAGCTCCCGACCTCTCCGTGCCTGCCTTCATCTCTTCATCTGTAAACCTGGCATAACAGCGGTGCCTACCTCACAGTAGAAATGCCACTTGGAAGAGGGCTTTACAGAAAGGAAACACTCGTTTCGTACTGGCTCATATTACAACTACTGTGCAGACTCTCACAAAAGACCTGCCTCACACCTTCTCTGTACTCGCACCTCTTCTGTGCACCAAGCCTACTGACTCGGGCTCTGTCCCCAGGGAGGAAAGCCTGAAACAGCCCATTTCACCTGCTGGAACCTGGGAAGACCATTCACTTCGAGGCAAAAGTAGTAAGGAGCCCACTGGGAATGGGCTGCAGGCCACAGGTCCCCATCTAGCTTTACCAACCACACAGCTGACATTTGGTTCCCCATTTGGCTAACACATGTATTCTTCAATTCTCCTGAACTCCAGCAAGACTGTGACTAACTGGTACCTCTAAACCCTCACACTAAAAAAATGCACGATCGCTGAACCTCAAAGGACATTAAGTCACACAAGTCCAGACGTTAAGGTGACGGGAATATTCCCCTAAATGGCAAGAGGAAAACAGACACTCAAAAGGAAGCATATATAGTTCAAATCCAGAAGCACATACTTTCTCACATAGGCACGAAGTCTTGCCAATAAAGAGACTTTTTGTACCTGACAGGGGCATGTGTGCAGGGCACCAATGTGTCCTTCCAGAAATGACAGTGACAAGCTTACTAAAAATACGCATACAGGTACATAATCAGAATAAAAAAAGTCTTAAGATTATTTCCCTAACTGTTTTAGTAAAGAAACACAACTTTTTAAGGATGTGAAAAGCCCTCATTAGTTACTGACTCGAGGTAAGTCTGCCCCAAGTTCAGGGGCCAAGGATCGGGGCCTTCCCAGCCAGGCACTTACTACAGAATTCCGCATACTCAGCTGGCAGGAGAAAGGTCTGAGGGAGGATGTGAAAAGCCTTGAATCCATGCGTATGCTGCATTCGAATGATGTTTTTGTACAGTCGGTCCTTCCGGGTTAGTTCATATGACCTAAAAATCGTAAAAGTTTTTCCATTTCAGTCATCTGTGACTCAAAGGTTTTCCCGTGTTATCACATACTAAAGAGTTTATAGTTCACAGTTCAGAAGTAGTCATTGAGGACAGTATTACATCTCAAATCACTTTGTCACCTCCAAAGATTTATTAATCATTTTCATAAAATGGATTTCTCTGGTCAGATTTATTCATCAAGGTATAATTTGCATACAGTAAAATCTGCCCTTTTTAAGAAGTGTATAATTCTTTTTTTTTTGTTTGTTTGTTTGTTTATTTTTGAGATAGAGACAAGAGTGTGAGTGGGGGAGGAGCAGAGAGAGGGAGACACAGAATCTGAAGCAGGCCCCGGGGTCTGAGCTGTCAGCACAGAGCCCAATGCGGGGCTCGAACTCATGAACCACGAGATCATGACCTGAGCTAAAGTCGAACGCTTACTGACTGAACCACCCAGGTACCCCAAGAAGTGTATAATTCTAAGAGTTTGAACAAACAAATGCAATTATGTAACCACCACCACAAACAATTCCAACATCCCAAAAAGTCACCCCAAGTACCTCTGTAGTGACTCCAAGAGCCTTCCAATCACCTCCAGGCCCTGGCAAGCATTCATCTGTTTTCTGTCCCTATAATTTTGCCCTTTTTCGGAAAGCCAAGGACATGGAATGATATAGTACGCGTCCTTCTGAGACTGGCTTCTTTCGCTGCGACTGGCAACAACTGAGACGTATCCTTGTGGCTGCATGCATCAGAATTTCATTCCTTTTTATGACTCGGTAGTAATCTACCGCTTGGATGTACCACAGTTTCTTTATCCATTCACTAGCTGAAGGACATGAGAGCCATTTCCAGTTTTTGAAGATACGGATAAAGTCCCTACAAGCATTTAAGTACGGACTTTTGTAAGAATGTAAGCTTTTGCGTGGACGTAAGTTTTCACCTCTCTAGGAATGAGATGGCCGGGTTTAATAAGAGTGTTTGGTAAGTTCTATTAGCTGTCTATTGCTGCATAATAAAATTACCTCCAATACCTTACAGCCGAAAACCGTAAGAAAAATTTCTGTGGGTCAGGAGTGTGAGGGGAGCAGGACTGGGCAGTTCTGTCCGGGGCTCCCTCATGAGATGTCAATCACGATGTTGACCAGAGCTACAGCCATCAGGCGGGACTAGGGCTGAAGGACCCACTTTACAAACAGCTCTCTCACATGGAACTGGTTGTTGGCAGGAAGCCTCGGTTCCTCCCCATGTGAACTTTTCTGTAAGGCTAATAGAGTGTCTTTGTGACATGGCAGCTGGTTCCTCCTACATCAGGTGATGTGAGAGGGAAAGGGACAAGAACAAAGCTGCAATGACTTTAATGACCTAGTCTCAGAAGTGACACCATGTCACTTCTGCCACAAAGTGCTCATTAGAAGTTACAAAGTCCAGGGGCGCCTGCGTGGCTCAGTCAGTTAAGTAAGCATCTGACTCTTGGTTCCAGCTCTGGTCATGATCTCACGGTCCGTAAGCTCAAGCCCTGCATCGGGGTCCGCACTAACAGTGCAGAGCCTGCTTGGGATTCTCTCTCTCTCTCTCTCTCTGCCCCTCCCCCCCACCTTGAAAATAAATCAACTTAAAAATAAAAACAAGAAGTTACAAAGTCCAGCTCACACCCAAGAACAGAAAAATTAGCTCAACCATTTGAAGGCAAGGTCAAGGAATTTGCGGACACGTTTTAAAACCAACACGTGTGTATGTATTTAACTTTATAAGAAACTGCCAGACTGTTCTCCAAAGTGGCTGTACTGTTTTGCCTTTCCCACTGGCAAAGTTTCAGTGTTGCAGTTGCGCTGTATTCTGACAAGCACTTGGTGTTGTCTGGTGTTTTTTCTTTGTTTTTAGCCATTCCAATAGGCAGTTAGTAGTACCTCGTGTGTGTGTGGTTTTTTTAAGTTTGTTTATTTCTGAGAGACAGCGAGTATAAGCGGGGAGGGGCAGAGAGAGAGGAAGAGAGAGAGAGAATTCTAGGCAGGCTCCGTACTGTCAGAGCAGAGCCCAATGTGAAGCTTCAACCCACAAACCGTGAGATCATTACCTGAACTGAAATCAAGAGTCGGATGCTTAACCGACTGAGCCACCCAGGTGCCCCACCTTGTGTGGTTTTAACTCACGTTCCATTAGTGACTACTGATGAGGAACATCTTTTCATGTCTATCTTCCTTGGTGAGTATCTGTTCAAATATTTTTAGCCCATTTAAAAAAAAAAACAGCCTGTTTATTATTGAGTTTTCAGTTTATTATACATTCTTAGATACGAATTCTGTATCAGATATATGTTTTGCAAATATTTTCTCCCAGTTTGTGGCTTACCTTTTTTTCATTTTCTTAACAGTGTCTCTCAAAGAGCAGACATTTTAAATTTTCAGGAAGCCCACTTTATCAACATTTTTCTCTTATGGATTGTGCATTTACTGTTAGAGCTAAGAAATCTTTACTGAATCCAAGCGCACGAAGATTTTCTCCTGTGTTTTATTCTAGAAGTTTTACTGTTTTAGCTTTTACATTTAAATCTGATTCTTTTTGCCAAATGGTTTTGATGAGATTTATGAGTATTAAATTTATTCTAACATACTTTAAATATAAATAAACAAAAAAAGACTGTGTTCTAAGTTCGACTTTTGATAAATATATTCAAATTTTCAGGGTCCAGAAGCCAAATGCATCAAATAAATTCTAGCTTCATAAAGCTTCATCAGCCGCCTGTGAATATTCACTGCTAAAAATCATTATGAAACATTTTAGGTGTTTTATGTTAATTGAATCCTAATTCTTTAATAGTACAAAAAAAATCTAGATTACCCAAATAATGAAAAAACACTAGTAACCAATTAACAAGTACCAAACCCAAAGCATTCTGGGAATTTTTACACAAAGATACCTAGAAGGTGTGACCTTCTGAGAAACATGGCCTGAAAAAAGGACTTTCATGACTTGAAAATAGGACCGTTGAGGAAAACAGAAGATGTGGCTACCTTTCCCACATTTATAGGCCTAATGCCACAGCAGTAACTGTCCAGCCTCTTCTATAACTACACGGAACTTGCATCACCATTAGTAAAACAAGTACCTGCAGGTCGGATAGGTTTCTCCTAAACAGTGACCAAGATAGACCTTAATGTTAGACTACAATGATCCTATTGTAGTAAAGTACCAGATCACTAGGTTAAGAATCCCACTGACAACTTAGTTTACATCATTAAAAGATGGATGTGCAAGAGATAAAATTTTAAAGAAAAGCAAGGAAATGATCACCACAAACTTCAGGCAATAATTGCCACCTATCAGGAAGTATATTCCAGAGCACTTCAGGTAGCCTCAACTGGACTCACGAGTTCCACTACTGGCTTCCACTCATGGTTTGCTCCACCGTTTAAAAACCATCCAAGAATCTTTACTATAACCACTAAAACTTAATGTTTCTCAGTTCAAATTTTTCAATATAATTTCTTAAAATCAAAGGGGACTTTGCCAAGTCCAGGTATCACAAACACTTCTTTCTTACCCATCATCCTCTTCATAAATGTAAAGCAGAGGTCCTTAAATTTTAGATAAGAATCATCCAGAAAGTTTCTTTAAAATTATTGTTTGTAAGTCCCACATCTCAAAATTCTGGAATAAAGTCTAGGATTCTGCATTTTCTACAAGTGTCCCAGGTGATTGTGGTACAGATGGTCCACATTATAATATTGATTTAGCCTAGAACAGTGATTTCCAAACTTTCCAGATATAAATCACCTCGCTGCCTTCTTTTTTTTTTAAGTTAATTTATTTTGAGAGAGACAGAGTGTGAGCAAGGGAGAGGCAGAGAAAGAGGGAGAATCTGAACCAGGCTCCATGCTGTCAGCACTGAGCCTTTGTGGGGCTCAAACTCACAAAACTGTGAGATCATGACCTGAGCGGAAATCAAGACTCAGACGCTTAACCAACTGAGCCACCCAGGCGCCCTATCCTGACTGTTTTCTAAATATATGGTTTCTAGGTATATACTTACCTAGAAAGATTAAGCACCTAGAAGGTACTTTTTAAATATACATCTTCCCTGGGTATGGTGATTCCACGAATCTACAATGGGACCTGTGAGTGCATATTTTTAAATAGTCTGCCAGTGACGTTTATCATCAGTTAGAAACACTGACGAGAGGATAAGAAAAAGAATGCATTCTCCTACAGATGCCCAATCCTAGAGGTCTCCAAATCCTTTTGCTTGATACCCCCCATACAAATTTTAGGAAACTATATATCCTTTAGTCGGCATCTAAGATTTTTCATCAAAAAAAATCTGGTTACCAAGGTCGCTCAGCCCATCATCCCAAATGGGCCAACGAATGATAAATCTTATTTTAAAACAAAATTCTAACGCTACCCTTTTAAATATATTCAAGGGAATCAAAATAACATCAGGATTCAAAGGCTCCTGTACATTTTAAAAATAGTATCGAAGAAAAAGCTCTTTTTCTGTCAGTATATTTTTCGCTTTTTAAAATATACTTTTTACTGAAGGTAATTTATATACAGAGAAGCATACAAATCACAAATGCAGAGCGTGATGAATTTTGGTCACCTGTGTGAGCACCACTGAGACTAAATATAGAACATTCCCAGCACCCCAGAAGCCTCCTTCACACTCCCAACCCAGGCATGATCCCTCAATCACTCTTGTTTTTACTTCTTCTGTGACGCTTCCCCCAAAGAAGGGTTTAGCCTCATAGAACATACTTCATGCTTGCAACTCGTATATCATCATACCTTCTCTATAACAAAATATGCATATGAGTTAATATGCATTATTTTCAAATTTCATATGATCATTAGGCTATAAACTGATTATCACGGCAACTACTGTAGTACACAATATATCAAAACACCATAAATATTACGAATTTTTATTAAAATGTACAGTATACCAAGGTTAATGTCTCCATTTTGATAATCTTGCCACTGTTATAATGGATATTAATGTTAGAAAAACTGAATAAAGGATACAGAGTAACTATATTATTTTTGCAACTTTTCTAGAAGTCTAAAATTATTTAAAATTAAAAGTTAAAAATTATATTAAGAAAGTTCACAATAATATCGGAAACATTGAAAAAAAATTTTTTAACGTTTATTTTTGACAGAGAGCGAGAGAGAGCGAGAGAATGAGTAGGGGGAGGGGCAGAGAGAGAGGGAGACCCAGAATCTGAAGCAGGATCCAGGCTCTGAGCTGTCAGCACAGAGCCCGACGTGGGGCTCGAACTCACAGACTGAGAGATCATGACCTGAACCGAAGTCAGATGCTTAACCAACTGAGCCACGCAGGTGCCCTGGAAACATTTTAAGTGCCTGAATGCCTCTTACACTTGAGTTCAGGTCTCTGGATTGAAACCATGCGAGACAGAGCAGCAGAAGCCACAAAGCATGGTGCATTTAGATGATGGGTTATCAGTGTGTTCGAACATACAAGAACACCACATTCAAGGAATACTCCAGAAAATACAGGTTCAGGGGCGCCTGGGTGGCGCAGTCGGTTAAGCGTCCGACTTCAGCCAGGTCACGATCTCGCAGTCTGTGAGTTCAAGCCCCGCGTCAGGCTCTGGGCTGATGGCTCAGAGCCTGGAGCCTGTTTCCGATTCTGCGTCTTCCTCTCTCTCTGCCCCTCCCCTGTTCATGCTCTGTCTCTCTCTGTCCCAAAAATAAATAAACGTTGAAAAAAAAATTAAAAAAAAATTAAAAAGAAAATACAGGTTCAAATTTATTAACGCTGTTTAATTCTAAACAGAGACAGAATTCCTATACACCTACAGGAGTACTTCAAAAACCATTAAAATAAATAATAAACTAGTAACATGAACTGGAACGCAGACTCCAGTGTAGGCTATTTCAAGGACTCTTTAAATGCCTACTTAAGATAGACCGTATCTGATTCACTTCAACCATCCAGTCACACATTTAGAATACCAAATCCACATCTTCTAGACATGAAGGAAGAAAAATAAGGCTTAAGTTACTTTTGCAAATGAAGCAGAGACATAAAACTGAAACTTGTTATGAACTCAAAATTCACATTTAAGCAAGATTATGAGGAAATTACTTGACTTGGGCCAGGTATTTACACACAGTGACGAGATATAAGAGAATTGAAAAATTAAGAAAGAAACTTCATTAGATAAAAATGAGAAAAGCATATGAAAATAAAACTTGTGAGCATAAGTAACTAGGACTTAAGTCCTAGAACTAAATAAAATAAAATGTAACCACAGTCCAAATAAAAAAGTTGTACTGGATTTCCTTCTCTTCATGAGATGAGATTTGTTTCCCTCTTGTCTACAAGGTCATCTATCTGTCTCTCCGTGGTTGAGTATGACTGCCAGAATAAGGTAGGGTTTCAGCATCAATTTTATTCCTATTTTCTTCTTCACAGATGAAAACACTAGGAAACCCTGGTCACAAAAATAACAGCTAACACTTCTGTAGTGTGTACTATGTAACGAGCGAGCACTGTTCTAAATAGTTTAGATCTGGACACATTAAATCGTCACAACAGTCCTGTGAAGTGTGGATCATTAGCAACATCTTTTTACCAATGAGGAAAATGATGTTCAGAAAGGTCTTGTTACCAAGGTCGCTCAGCAGAACTGGTATCCGGGCCCAGGCACTGGCCACTAGGCAGTATTGCCTCTCCAGGCTGCCATTAAAAATGCAACTGGAAGGAGTTTTCTCTACCAGTGACACTCAATTCTTTCAACTTCCTAATTCTGTGTCAAAAATCACAAGATGATCTACCATTACAAATTAAAATTAATGGCCTATCAGCTGACAACTTGCCTATGTCAAGTTTTATGCTTTGAATTCTATTAAAAGCAAAGAAATTGAAATCACTATCACGGAAAAATAATTTGTCATTACCAGAATTCAATTCAACACCATTTTTTGGAGGGGGGAAGGGGTTTTGTCTGGAACCCTGGAAATGTTTGCACCCAAGGACAATGCACCATGTTAACATTCTAAGAGGGCCATTGTTTTACAAAAGGGAAGAATAGTAACTGAAAAAGGAGGTGAGAGAGGGAGAACACTTCCACACAAGGGGCTCTCAAACTGCTCAATCTTAGGAAAGAGAACCTATGGGATTTGCAATCCAGAAACAGTCTCCTTTAGAACCATCCATGTCTACACAGTCCTTGGAGAGGCTTCATATAATACATGCTTACAGAGATGAACACCTCGGTTTGATTTGCAGACTGCTGCCCCGTATGACAGACTTCTTTTTTTAAGGACATTAATTATCTCTCTTGGCCACATGCCCAGTGTCAAGTACCTTTAATTGGAGCAAAGTAGCTACAAGAGCATTACCTGGGAAAGTGATTAACCTTTTGTGCTTCAGAAAGGGTGCGAAGTAAGAAGGGCTTCAGGTGGGATCCTGTCCACATTAGGTTATAGTCAGTGCTGCTTGGGTGAACCTGAGGGCAGATAAAAAGATACAAAAACATCAGAGATAGCCTCTCTCCAGGGAGATGGCAAGAAAGGCCGTAGAAATTTTTCATCTACAGAGCAGAGTGAGTGCCCAGTTAGTATTTAAACCTAGTAAAATAAAAGCTGAGTATGAAAAGCTGTAAAGGATGGGATAGGTGGGCAAATCCCAGATACAAAAAGTGGAATAAATGAATCCTTCTATAGAAGTCTGTGATGTCTCTTAACATTCTTACATATCAAAGCATGAGAAGAGGGCTCAAACCCACAACTCTCGTCTCAGTGTCCTTAGGTCCTTACAGATGCTGGATATAAAGCACTGATCAGGACTAAAACCTTGTCATGGCAAACCAACTTAGGATATCATTCATTCACTCATAAGAATGATTTTGTCTATTCACTTGTCTGTTCATTCAACAATTATGTACCCTGTGCCTATGATGTGAGAGGTACCAGTGAGGCCCCAGAGATAAAACACCAAGACAGGATATAGACTAGTATCAGAACTTTCACAAAATGTCTACTTCAGACCTCAACCTAAGATAAGGAGCTAGGAACCAGACTACCATCAATCTTCTCAAAATATCTACAGTGTAAATCATTCCAGCATTTTTGCCTGTCCCTTTTAATATCAATATCCCAATTTTCCTAATTTTCTTTGGGAATGACATACCATTTGGTTTTAAAAGACTGCCAGTCACCCCCTGACCCCCTGCAAGGAGCACTTCCATGGCCCAAGCTGGACTAGTCATACTATCTCCAGAGGGGGAGTCTTCAGTGGAGAAAGGCACAATGACAATGAATGGAGTTGAGTCACTTCTATGGCAGTCCCCTGAAGAGACAGTCCCTAAGATTCCTATTCCCAGACCCCTGGGGCTGTTCTAGTCTCTTTTCACCTCTTCCTCTGATTCTGCTACGCATCCTGTGTATAACTTACCCACAAATTCTTTATTTATTTATTTATTTATTTATTTTAACGTTCATTTATTTTTGAGAGAGACAGAGACAGAGCACGAGCAGGGGAGGGGCAGAGAGAGAGGGAGACACAGAATCCAAAGCAGGCTCCAGGCTCTGAGCTGTCAGCACAGAGCCCGACATGGGCTCAATCCCACAGACCAGGTGATCATGACCTGAGCTGAAGTCAGACATTTAACCGACTGAGCCACCCAGGGGGCCCTCTTTGGGTTTAAATTAGGCAGAATCTACTTCTGTTGCTTGCAATCAAAGAATCTTAATTCAGTATCAGACCATTCCTATGGGCAGCACTGTCTCTACCCCAAGCCTAATCATAGCAATAAAAACGTTTGGGGTTTTTAGTTTAAAAAAAAAGAGAGAGAGGAAGGGAGGAAGGGGGGGATGGGGGGGAAGGAATCTTGTGAAAATGTTTTCCATGCATTTCAAGGAGAAACTGGTAAATCCACTCAGAAATTCAACATAAGCTCTGCATCATCACTAAGCATAGATTCCCAAGTACCCTCTAGAGCTGCCCTATTAACTGGTCGTCAGGTTGGATGTCTAGGATTTTCAGTTTTAGAGCAGATCAGGTGAGGTAGTAAAAATGAGCTTACTTCATGAAATCCATGGGCTGTCAGAATGCTGCGTACCAGGCGACTATCTGTTCGCACAATCTTGTAAGACAAATGATAACGTTCTAGAGAAAAACACAGAATCAAATTCAGTAACCAAAAAGTTAACTGTAGAAACAAAAATAAAACTGTGAGATTGTGGCTTCTTAACTGTATTCGGTAACATTGTACTACTACCCTTACGCTATTATTAAGTAGGCTACTATTATTGTGGACCAAGGGTTCTTAACCTGACATTTGCTGCGGGTTATTAAAAATAGATGGGAGACAAAATGGCATCTTTGTTCTCACTACTAGTTGAAATTTAACATTATCTTCAATTACAAATGTAGGCACAAAACGGAGTGTTAGCAATACCCGTGACCTTGCCACCTATAGGTACCAGGTGTTTTAATATTATTGTACGATTGTTACAGTTATCTGAAAATGTCATTTCTCACAATATATAAAAAATGGCAGTTAACAAACCTCCTAGCAGACCATGTTATTTAATGCACTAATAAAAATGCATATACATCACAAATTTACCTTTTATACAATATTTTGATAATTACATTTCAATACAATTGATTATGTTTAGACTCCTATATATTTTCTATACACTTCAGAACCATTATGCTGAGAAGAGACCCACAGGCTTCCCTACACTGCCATTGCACATTTGGTCCACTGCACAAAAAGGTTAAGAACCCCTGCTCTAGACAGTCCTCTGTGTGCAATAATGCTGATTACCAGTGTATCTTAGACCAGAGGTTATAAACTGGCAATCCAGGGCCAAAACCAATCTGCAGACATTGTTTGTTAACTTCTCATTGTGCTTTAAAAACAAATTGAGCCTGGGTCTCTCCGTCGGTAGAGCATCAGACTTGTAATCTGAGGGTCTGGGGCTCATATCCCTGTTCAGGCGCCAGATGCACCTTGGGGCGCCTGGGGAGCTTAGTCAGTTAAGCGTCCGACTCCTGATTTCCGCTCAGGTCATAATCTCATGGTTCATGAGATTGAGCCCCCACATCAGGCTCTGCACAGACAGGGCAGAGCCTGGTTGGGATTCTCTTTGTCTCTCTCTCTGCCCAGTCCCCACCCATGTGCGCACACTCTCGCTCCCTCTCTCTCAAAATAAATAAACATAAAAAAAAAAAAAAAAGATTTTCAAACACTTAAATTAAAAAATAAGAATACCAAATGAAAATAACTTGAATTATTGAGGCGCCTGGGTGGTTCAGTCGGTTAAGCGTCCAACTCTCAATTTCAGCTCAGGTGGTGATCTTACGGTCATGAGACTGAGCCAGGAGTCCTTGACACATTACGTGAACCGTCACAGAAGGCAACCAAGAATAAAGCAACAATGGAACAGAGCCCACCACGGGACTGGTTGCCTCTCTCGGGGTATCAGCGTGAGGACCCCACCTCAGGAGGCTCTGAGCCAGGCTTTCTGCAGGAGGCACACAGGCCCAGTGAACTGCCAAGTAGATACTATACTCCATGATGAGTGCAGAGCCTGCTTAAGATTCTCTCTCTCTCTCTCTCTCTCTCTCTCAATCTCTCTCTCATCACTCTCTGTCCCTCTCCCCCCACCACAAAAAAAAAAAAAAAAAGAAAGAAAGAAAAGAACGAAAAACAAATTGAATTACTAACCTTCTGAAATTGGAGGAATTCATTTAAAAATCTCGAATTCTGGGCTCTCTTGAAAACCCTGGCAACCCTGGGCTCGCTCTCTCTACCAGGGTGAGTCCACTGAGGAAGGGCGAGTGCTCCCTTCAGGACAGGTTCACAGGGTCTAGTTCAGCACAGTCCCCTCATGGTCCCTTCACTCATTCACATTACCCGCCAGGCCCCATACGCATTCTGTGCTTTTGACCCCTAAGACTAAAGTCTGTAATCATGTGAGATTTCTACACATCACCAAAGACTAAATTTTACTCCGGCCCACTAAATGCCACCTCTTTCTATGCACCACCACAAAGTGTTTGAAAAAATTAGCTAAGAATTCTACAGCACAATTAAAAAAATTTTTTTTTTATTTTTCTTTTTTAAAGTTTTTATTTATTTATTTTGAGGGAGAGCAAGCGAGCGAGCATGAGAGAGGAGGGGCCGAAAGAGAAGGAGAGAGAGTGAATCACAAGCAGGCTCCACACCGGTCAGTGCAGAGCCCAACGTGGGGCTCAATCTCACAAACCATGAGATCATGACCTGAGCCAAAGTCAAGAGTCAGACACTTAACTGACTGAGCCACCCACGTGCCTCTCCTAAATTATTTTTTTCTTAAGCAATCTCTATGCCCAAGGTAGGGCTCAAACTCACGACCCTGAAATGAAGAGTCACACGCTCCACCAACTGAGCCAGCCAGGCAGTGCATCTATAGAATCATTTTTCGAAAAAGACTACATAGTGAACAATTTCTGAATGAGTGTAATACAGAAACTTATAGACAGACCTTAGAACCAAATTCAGCCTCTCCAGTCAAAGATAAGCCTATCTTTTTATGAATTTATGTGAAAATATCCATAAATCCCTGCTGCTACTTGCCCAGCCCTGGCAAGAACACCATGCAGAGCAGAGGCAGGAAGACGGGAATGAAAAGACCAGACACTCCATACTTCTCATTCTTGTGGCAAACTTCTAAAGCCCAGTCACAGGGTTTTCCCAATGTCAATCACTATTATGTTGTCTTTGCAATACGGTTATAAGAAAAACACTTCAGAGTCATGTCTTCACTCCAGCGCAGAGAATAATTTAAGAAACAGTCCAGTGCACCGCTTAAGAGTTTGTCTTCTGATTCCAAGTTGGCGAGGGAAAGCACAAGATAGGCCTGGAATATCTTGTTATGCCCAAAGAGAGGAAAGTGCTCAAAAACTGACTGGGAACATGTCACAAGGATCTCAATGGGTCGCAATGGATCCCAAGGATCTCAATGGGCAAATTTAAGACAATTTGAAAATAAAAATGAATTATGACAGAGATAGAGTATAATCCACTTATATTTAAGGAAAAAAAAAAAAAAAAAAAGAACCCATGAGTCCACACTGGTAAGAAGGCATACTGGTTTTCCATTGCTGCTCCTGTAATAAACTACCACCCACTTGATGGCTTTACCAGCACAAATTTGTTGTCTGATATTTCTTATGTCAGAAGTCTGACACAGATGTCATCAAGGCAAGAGGGGGGCTGCATTCCTTTCTACAGACTCTTTCTACAGGCTCATTTCTTTTCCTTCTCCAGCTTCTAGAGGCCTCCCCCATTCCATGGCTTTTGGTGCCCTTCCTCTATCTTCAAAGCCAGCAATGAAGGGTCTGGTCCTTCTCACACAGCGTCAATCTGACTCCTCTTCTGCCTCCTTCTTCCACTTTAAAGGACCCTTGTGATGAAGGTCAGTTGATTAGCAACCTTAAATCCACCTACAAGTTCAATTTTCTGTTGCTATGTCAGGTAATATTTTCATAGGTTCTGGGATTAGGAGGTGGACATCTTTGGGCGGGACCATTATTCTGCCTATCAGAGGAGGGAAAGTTCTTTACAGAAAATCCAGCTAATAAATGTAAAAGAAAAGAAACAGAATATCAGTATTTCACAAAAACTGTAAGAGGAAGAGGTTCAGACTAAAATCAATGGAAACCAATGGGTGAGAGACTTGGGAAACAGGATATTCATGCATCTCAAAATATCATTCCAGAGAATGCTTGTAACAAAGCAAACAAAACAACAAAACAAAACTTCTGATGAAGTAATCTGGTGAACACTATTCTCAACCAAATGATGAGGGGCACCTGGGTGGCTCAGTAGGTTAAGTGTCCAACTTCGGCTCAGGGCAGGATCTCGCAGTTCGTGAGTTCCAGCCCCACATTGGGTCCTGTGCTGACAGCTCAGAGCCTAGAGCCTGCTTCAGATTCTGTGTTTCCCTCTCTCTCTGTCCCTCCCCCACTCACGCCCTCTCTCTCTCTCCCTCTCAAAGATAAAGAAATATTTTTTAAAAAATGATGAAACTTGCCACCACCAACAAGGCAATACAATTATATCACATGCTTCCTAACGTAATACACTGAAGAAGATACACTATGTGATAGTCCTACAAAACTTTAAACCTGAATCTAAACATGGAGAAACAATCAGACAATCCCAAACGTAAGGACATCTGCAAAGCAACTAGTCTGGAATCTCTAAAACTGTCAATGCCATGAAAGACCAAAAAAAAAAAAAAAAAAAAAAAAAGCCTGGGAGGTTAAAGGAGAAATATGAAAAGTAAATACAATCTTTGACTTCATCCTAGACTTTAGAAAAAAAAGTAGTATAAAGGTCTAAATTGGGGCGCCTGGGTGGCTCAGTCGGTTAAGCGTCTGACTTCGGCTCAGGTCATGATCTCACGGTCCGTGAGTTCGAGCCCCGCGTCGGGCTCTGTGCTGACAGCTCAGAGCCTGGAGCCTGTTTCAGATTCTGTGTCTCCCTCTCTCTCTGACGCTCCCCCGTTCATGCTCTGTCTCTGTCTCAAAAATAAATAAACGTTAAAAAAAAATTAAAAATAAATAAATAAAGGTCTAAATCGGAACAACTAGGGAAATGTGCATTAGCACTGTATATTAAATAAAAGTACTTTACCAGTGACAGATTTCCTGAATGTCACCTCAGTACTGTGGTTATACCGAGGACGCCCTGCCCTTAGGGATACATTGCTAAACAAGATATTATGGCATAAAGTACTTGAACTAATTCTCCAATGGTACAGAGAGACAAAATGTTAATAGTTGGTGAGCACGGGGAAACACTATACATGCGTTCAATGTACTGTTCTTACAGCTGGTTGAGAGGTTTTTAATTTTTCTAGGTTGAATGTTTAGACAGTGAAAGAAAATCTGGTCTTCATTATAACTGTGATCCCCAACATCTCCATTTCTGCGCGTGCAAAAGCCAAAGGATCATCAACGCCAGAGACCGGAAGCGCACCTGATGCCGCACCGGTTCGGCACTGGGGGCCTCACGGTGCCAGGCCATGGGGAGGGCAGTGAGGAAGGTGTGCGGAAAAACGGAGAATGACCACCTGGGGACTGCGGAAGGAGGAGGAGCAATAAGAGAA